CATGTTGGTCAGACTGCTCTCAGACTCCATACCTCAGGTGATTCACCTGTGTCTCCCAAAGTGTTGGGATTACAGGCGTGAGCCACCATGCCCGGCCCTCTATTTTCTCATCTCTACAGGTGACTGACAACACTTGCACTCTGGTGATCCTACAAGTAGTACATTTGGAGGCACATTGTAAACTTCAAAGTTTTCACTATATTATTATTATTTGAGATGGAATTTCAGTCTTGTCCAGGCTGGAGTGCAGTGGCTCGATCTTGGCTCACTGCAACCTCCACCTCCTGGGTTTAAGAGATTCTCCTGCCTCAGCCTCCTGAGTAGCTGGGACTACAGCTACGAGCCACCAGGCCTAGCTAATTTTGTATTTTTATTAGAGATGGGGTTGGTCAGGCTGGTCTTGAACTCCTGACCTCAGATGATCCACTTGCCTTGGTCTCCCAAAGTGCTGGGATTAAAGACGTGAGCCACTGCGCTGGGCCAAAATTTGCACCATTATTAAAGGAGCACTTGCAAAGCCTGCCAACAGATGGTAGGGTGGAAGAGAAGAAACAACTAGGAGAGAGTTTCTATACCACAAAATAAACTTCACTGGCTCTGCGAGGAGCAGGAAAGCTGCATGATAACAACAAGGACTGGGTGGTACTGCAGGAAATGCTCAATTCCAGTTTCACTTCCTGTGTTATCACTTTTTCTTTGCTGCAATTTCTTCTTTCTTGGCCAATTCTCTATTCATTTTCCATTTTTTGTACATTCCATGTAAATGTAGATTTTATGAACTAGGGAGTCTGACCCCATATTTGATCTTTGACTACTGACAACTCTCAAGCTCCACCTCTCTCCTCCCGTTCTGTCCCACACCTGGGTGGCTGATTTGAAAGCCCAGGTGCTTCCTCCTTTGGCTCTAAAGGCAAGTTCAAGCCACACAGTCCCCAGCATGTGCATTGAAGCCTTCATTTCCGCTCCACCCCTTAACCTTAATAACACCCAAAGCCAGTCTCTTTTCCCTACTCTCAAACCATTTATTTCTTCTTTTTCTTTTTTTTGGAGACAAGGTCTTGCTGTGTTGCCCAGGCTGGAGTGCAGGGGCATGATCACAGCTCACTGCAGCCTAGAACTGTGGGCTCAAGGGATCCTTCCACCTCAGCCTCCCCAGTAACTGGGACCACAGGGGTGTGCCATCACACCCAGCTAAATTTATTTATTTATTTATTTTTGTAGAGAGGGTAGTGTCACTGTGTTGCCCAGGCTGATCTCAAACTCCTGGGCTCAAGTGATCCTCTTTTGGCTTGGCTTCCCAAAGTGCTGGGATTATAGGCATGAGCCGCATGATTATAGGCATGCATCTGTAATCCCAGCTACTCAGGAGGCTGAGGCAGGAGAATTGCTTGAACCTGGGAAGCAGAGATTGCAGTGAGTCAAGATTGCACCTCAAGCTATTTTTGAAACCATTTGGTTTCAAACTCCCTGTTCTCTCCAGAAAGCCTCATGTGAGTCATAAGCCTTTACATATTCTTTGTGCATGTGGGGCTGTCACCAGTTTTGAAAATTAAACCAGGTTTTGTGTGGGGAATCTATCACATATCTTCTGGTAATATCTAAGATAAACACAGCAGACATGAAGTGATAAAAGCATTTTATTCAGTAACCACTGACAGTAGGGGAAAGAGCTGAACTCCATTCTGCTTTGTTCAGTGATAATTGGGCTTTTTTTTTTTTTTTTGGTGGTTGGATATTTTATTTTTTTCATTTTGTTTCTTTTCTTTTTTCTTTTTTTTTTTTTTTTTTTTTTTTACAAATCCTCTCCACTGAATATAGTTGATTGGTGATTTTAAAGGGGGATTGAGGGAGTATGAAGGGTACAAGTGGGTTCAGTAGAGTTGGGGAAGTGAAAAATTACAAGGGGCCAGTGTAAATGAGATGAGGCCAGTGGTGTCTGCCTGCTGGCAATGATAAAAGTTAGGCTTCTATCCAACCACAGAGACTGAGAGACAGAGGCATTATCTTTCCTGACCACTACCTTTCAAAGCAATGACTCCTTGGGAAAGCAATGTTTTTTGAGAAAGACACTTCTGAGCTGTAGGAGATATGTGTGTACACACATGCATATACATAGACAATATGTGTATCACATAGACATCTCAAAGGGACAGAGGAAGGATTCATAATTGTAAATCCTTTTTACTAAATGCTCTAAAAGAGGGAGGTCAGGGGCCTATCGTCAGATGTTGGCAAGAACAGTAAGTTATCCAGACAGCACTGAGATTTCTCAGGCAGGCATTTTAATGGTGAGGACTGGGGTCATCTTGGGAACACAACCTATGCTACTAGAAGCCATGACAATTAGTCTGTAAGAGCAGAGTTTCAGGCGGAGTTATGTGGGGAGCGTTCTGCAGTTCTCGGTAACCACAAGACTATATCACTAGAAGATGAAGCCCACAGAACTACAGATGTTACCGTTTCTGAGTGAGCGGAATAACAAACTTACAGTGAGCAATCACCAACAGATAGAAGTGATGTGACTGGTTACTGATCATGACATGCATTTGTTATTAATGTAATGATGTGTAGACTGAAGAGCTAGCAGCCAAGCCTGCACTTTATGTGACGACTCACAATTAATATTCTGTGTACCGGCTGGGTGAGGTGGCTCGCGCCTGTAATCTCAACACTTTAGAGGCCAAGGTGGGTGGATCACTTGAGGTCAGGAGTTCGAGACCAGCCTGGCCAATGTGGTAAAACCCCGTCTTTACTTAAAATCCAAAAATTAGCCTGCGTGGTGGCATGCACCTATAATCCCAGCTACTCAGGAGGCTGAGGCAGGAGAATTGCTTGAACCTGGGAAGCAGAGATTGCAGTGAGTCAAGATTGCACTACTAAAAAAAAAAAAAAAAAAAAAAAAAGATTGCACCACTGCAGTCCAACCTGGGCTATAAGAGCGAGATTCTGTATCAAAATAAATAAATAAAAATATTCTGTGTACCTGAAATTTGAGTTGTGTTGTTGGGGGACTGGTGTTATTAAATCATGGTGACTGAAATTCGTGCATATCAGAACTGTACAAAGCAAGGGCTGCCTGATGAATATAATGCTCTCATGTTTTATGGGAGTTTATACAAATTAAAAATGCAAATATTTGAAAGTTGTATGTTATGAGCAAAGTTTGAAATAATGCAATTCTCTTAATATTTTAAAAGACTGTTAGGATTCACAGCTTTTCCTTTTTTTTAGAGATCGAGTCTTGCTCTATCACCCAGGCTGGAGTGTGGAGTACGTTGGCATGATCTTGGCTCACTGCAACCTCCGCCTCCCGGGTTCAAGCAGTTCTCCTGCCTCAGCCTCCTGTGTAGCTGGGAACACAGGTGCACACCACCACGCCTGGCTAATTTTTTTGTGTTTTAGTAAAGACAGCATTTCACCGTGTTGCCCATGCTAGTCTTGAACTCCTGAGCTCAGGCAGTCTGCCCGCCTAGACCTCCCAAAGTGCTAGGATTACAGCCATGAGCCACTATGCCCAGCCCTTGACTCACAGATTTTCAAAACACTTTTGAACAGTAAGCTGAGGACAGTGTTTATTATGACTATACTTGGTCCTTTCACTGGCTCATAAAACTTAACTCCATCACTTGTCAGTCTCCTAAAAATGCTATGTGTGTGCTTTGAAACTTTTGTGAATGATTTGCTGATTTGTGCTGCTATTTTAATATTCAATGTTGTTGAAAGTCCGAATATTTATTATTATTTTTGAGATGGAGTTTTGCTCTTGTTACCCAGGCTGGAGTGCAATGGCGCGATCTCAGCTCACCACAACCTCCACCTCCTGGGTGCAGGCAATTCTCCTGCCTCAGCCTCCTGAGTAGCTGGGATTACAGACATGCGCCACCATGCCCAGCTAATTTTTTGTATTTTTAGTAGAGATGGGGTTTCACCATGTTGACCAGGATGGTCTCAATCTCTTGACCTTGTGATCCACCCACCTCGGCCTCCCAAAGTGCTGGGATTACAGGTGTGAGCCACTGCGCCCGGCCGAGTCCGAATATTTTTTTAAACCAAGTAGTCCAAAAATTCATTTGGTGTAACATTAATGCTCGTGCGTAAAATATGCTGGAAAATCGATAACTCTGCTCTGGAATAAACTTTATTTTATTCCAGATTTTAAATAAAATTTTATTTTGATGTACTTATGCAGTTAAATTGGTAGATTAGTCTGAAATGCTGAAAAAATACAAAGTAGAGTTAAAATAAAATTTATCTTATTTGTAGAGTCATGTTAAGAATGTATTCTCGCCGGGCGAGGTGGCTCACGCTTGTCATCCTAGCATTTTGGGAGGCCGAGGTGGGTGGATCACCTGAGGTCAGAAGTTCAAGACCAGCCTGGCCATCCCATCTTTAAAAAAAAAAAAAAAAAAAAAAAAGAATGCATTCTCTCTACACCTATTCCAATGGGAACATTAGTACTTGATTATGTAGGGAGTGAATCTTGCCAAGTCTTCACATACACCTTGCTCCCATCAAAGCTGTGTATTGTATGATGTGGGTTTATTGTTAGTTTTGCTGCATGTTGGTTTAAAAGTAATAGCTTCAACCATCTTAATAAAACCTCTGTAATGGGCATTCTTGGGATAACTGGACAAATTTGAATATGGAGTTGATATTTGATGGCTTTTATGGAATTACTTTTAAATTTTATAGACAATGGTATTGTGACTAGAAGTTTGTTCCTAAAGATATATGGTGACATATTTAGGGCTGAAGTTTCCTCACGTCTGCAATTCCAAATGATTTGGCACAAATAAATATACATACAGATAAATACACACATAGATGGCAAAATACTAACAGCTGTTGACTCTAGGTGAGATGTGTTTGTTGAATTCTTTCAAATTTTGTTTGAAAATTTCAGTAAGAAACCTGGCAAATATATTGACCAAGAAAATGTTTGTACACTAAAAACATGCTATAGTAATGCCCCCCCTTTTTTTGAGGGGGGGCATTACTATGCTGTTGCCTATGCTGGAGTGCAGTGGCATGATCTCAAGCTCCCTGCAACCTCTGTCTCCCAGGTTAAGCAGTTCTCATGCCTCAGCCTTCTGAGTAGCTGGGACTACAGACACCCACCACCACGTCCAGCTAATTTATTTATTTAATTTTGAGATGGAGTTTCGCTCTTGTTGTCCACTACTAATTTTGTGTTTTTAGTAGAGGGGGTTTCTCCATGTTGGTCAGGCTGGTCTCGAAATCTTGACCTCAGGTCATCTGCTCTCCTTGGCCTCCCAAAGTACTAGGATTACAGGTGTGAGCCACCATGCCTGGCCAATTTTTGTATTTTTAGTAGAGGAGTTTCACCATAATTGGCTAGGCTGGTCTCGAATTCCTGACCTCGTAATCGCCCCCCTTCCCCCAAAAGTGCTGGGATTACAGGCGTGATGTCTTTTCAGTAACGTCTTTTCAGTTATGTTTTTACAAAACTCAGTGCAGGCAGGACGCGGCGGGGGCTCATGCTTGTAATCCCACCTACTCAGGAGGCGGGAGCGGAAGGTTCTCTTGAGCCCAGGAATTGAAGACCAGCCCGGACGACATAGCGACACCACAGCTCTCCGAAAATATTTAAAAATTAGCTGGTCGTTGGGGCGGGCGCCTGTGGTCCCAGCTGCTCCGGAAGCGGAGCCTGGAGGATTGCATACGCCTGGGAGGTTGAGGCTACAGTGAGCTGTGACTGCGCCACTGCACTCCAGCGTGGGTAACAGAGCCTGCCTTATTAAAAAAAAAAAAAGTCCTCTAAGGGATACGAGGCTGTGTGTGATAGTAATTTTCTTTTAGTTTGCACTTTTATTCACCCCCAAATTCTGTGTATTGCAAGGAAGTCTGAAATTTTGAGAAGTCAGCACCATCCCCCGACATCGTGACTACAGCTGCGTTGTTTTCCGGAAGAACTACTGCGCCATGAGCTCACTTGCCTTTCCAGGCCTGCCACGCAGGCGTCCTCCGCTCTCTTTTGTCCGCTTTCGGGTCTGCGCTTGCAGAGAAATGCCTGACGCGCCCCCTACCGGCTGGAGGACGCAGCTCCAGGCGGGGAGAAGTGAGTGTTCCTTCGTGGAGCCTGACGGGAAACCGCCCCTACCGGTCTTTGGCGCGGGGCGCAGTAGCGGTAGCGACGAGTGCTGTCGCGCATGCGCGGCCAAGGTCCGGGAGTGGCAAGGCTGGGGCGCGGACGGGCTGCCGCTCGGGTCAAAGAGTACGCCGAGGCCGCGGGAGTTGGGGGCCGCGTCCTGAATTCTGGCGCGGCCTTGGCCTTGGCCCTTTCGTGCGTAGGAGACAGCGCGCCAGGCTGGCAGCCAGCTTTGGCGGCGTTTGCCGCTTTTGTCCGACGCCACTGCGCGGCCTAGTGTGGACTACCGGGACGCTTCGCGCTCCGGGTGGGAGGCGGTCTCCGCCCGCTCTGGCACAGCACGGGAGCTGGGCCTCGGGGCTCACCGCTTTGCCTGCCTTCTAAAAGCTCATTCGGCGGAAGTCCAGCGTTGCATTGTTACAGCACTGAGCCCCAGACATCGTTACCAAGTATAATGCGGGCTCTGTTTTATCCTGGGGCACTTGTAGTCAGGGTTCGTGGGTTCGCGCTTCATAATGGAGGGCCCCGGGTCGCGTCTCAACCTTCCAGCCAGTGTGTTCTCAGTGGTCTTGGTTGGGTTTTAGAAGAACCAACTCGAGATTCTCCGGGATAGGGAGCTCCAAGCCTTGGGGCCCTGATGTAAAATGATTTTGTCTATAGGGTCAGATCCTGGGTTTCTAAAAACAAATCAGCTCTTGTGAGGTAGAGGAATGATGGCCCCCACCTGAACGGAGACCTCTCACCAGAGCTTCACAGCAGTGGAGAACGAGGTTGAGAAAGCGCACAGCTCAGATTTGCACAGAGAGAGGCAATATGTAATGCCGGTGCTCCACAAGCCACCCCAGCTGACTAAAAGGGAGGTTTGCTCCAGCTGTCAGAGAGGTGAGCTGGACCTAAGGCTAGGGTCAGTCTTGCCCAGGAAATGTCTCTTCATCTTCAGGGTTGAGAGAATCTGGTTGGGGGCGGTGGGAGGGGGAGCGGGCGGAATGCTACCTACCTCTAAGAAAATTATTTTTCTTTTTCTTTTTTTTTTTGAGGCAGAGTGTTGCTCTGTCGCACAGGCTGGAGTGCAGTGGCGCAATCTCCATTCACTGTACCGGTGCCTCCCGTGTTCAAGCGATTCACCTGCCTCCGTCTCGAGTAGCTGGGATTACAGGCGCGCGCCACCACGCCCAGCTAAATTGCTTATTTTTAGTAGAGACAGGGTTTCACCATGTTGGCCAGGCTGATCTCGAACTCCAGACTTCAGGTGATCTGCCTGTCTCCGCCTCCCAAAGTGTTGGGATTACAGGCGTAAGCCACTGCTCCTGGCCAAGAAAATTCTGTGTTAAACACCCCAAACAACCTTTGAGTTTTTCTGAATTATCTACTCTTTTCAGATCCTGAGAGCCCTCCATACTATGCCCATTACCGCAGGTGGCCTTGAGAGATGTCGGTGCTTCCGCCATGTTGACTCAGAAAGTAGTGCAGGAAACAGTTTCCTGGATTCCAATTTCTGCCTGACATGAAAGATGAAAACCACTGAGCTCCAGAAGGGTGACATGTCCAGGTCATCCCATTCATTAGTATGCTAACCAGTAGTCCGCGTTTCTGGCATAATTAAGTCAAAACTAGTTTTTTTTTTTTTGAGACGGAGTTTTAGCTCTTGTTACCCAGGCTGGAGTGCAATGGCGCGATCTCGGCTCACCGCAACTTCCGCCTCCCGGGTTCAGGCAATTCTCCTGCCTCAGCCTCCCGAGTAGCTGGGATTACAGGCATGCGCCACCATGCCCAGCTAAATTTTTGTATTTTTAGTAGAGACGGGGTTTCACCATATTGACCAGGATGGTCTCGATCTCTTGACCTCGTGATCCACCCGCCTCGGCCTCCCAAAGTGCTGGGATTACAGACGAGCCACCGCGGCCGGCCTAAAACTAGTTTCTATCAAAAGTCTCAGAAACTACTGCCAAGGTAGTTTACAGGCCAGAGGACATTCTCCAGGAGGACATTTTATCCAGCTGATGGGGTAGAGTTGTACAGGCAAGAGAATCCAGGATGTGCAGGACAGGTCGGATGTCTAGTGATTCATTCTTTCTTCTCTACCAGCTCCACTTTCCTAGTTCTCTTAAGTGTTTCCTAGAGTGGTAGAAAATGAACACATTTCAGGTGAATTGTTTATTATTTTGTTCTCTACCTTGTTTATGATGTCTCACATTAGAATGGAAATATGGAAATAGATGAAAATCAACTTTAGGAAAAATACGCAAGAGCACATCAATGTCAGGACAAAGTGGTGTGCAGAAATATGTAGGTTCCATGATCTTTCCGGTGGCCTTAGCAAATATGTAGATGTTCTCTGTTACATGATTTGCATTGGTCATTACAAGAAATCATCTGCTAGGTGGGTGGCTCACACCTGTGTAGTCCCAGCACTTTGAAGGCTGAGGCAGGCAGATAGTTTGAACCCAGGAGTTCGAGACCATCTGGCCAACATGGCAAGACCCCATCTTTACAAAAACTACAAAAATTAGCCAGGTGTGGTGGTGCACACCTATAGTCCCAGCTACTGGGGAGGCTGAGGTGGGAGGATCGCTTGAGCCCGGGAGGCGAAGATTGCAGTGAGCTGAGATTGTGCCACTGCACTCTAGCCTGGGTGACAGAGCGAGACTTTGTCTCCAAAAAAAAAAAGAAAAGAAAAAAAAAGAAATTACCAGTGTTGAAAAAAACTTGCGCTTTGAATGAAGAGACCTTCCAAACAGGCTTTGTGTGAGCAGCATGGCTGTTTATTCACCTGGGTGCAGGTGAGCTAAGGCCGAAAAGGGTATTAGCAAAGGACAGTGGGATAGGAGTTGGTTTTATAGGTTTGGGTAGTTTTTTGGGGGCGGGGGTGTTGCAGAGTAAGTTCAGTTACAATGGCAGGGTTGAGTGAGAGGTATTTACATTATCGTAAGAACAGTTAAAATGGCAGGGTTGGGTGAGGGGCTTGTCCAGGGAACCTTCGCTGGATGATAGGGACAATGGTGAATGTAGGCAGGGTGTGGGAGACATCAGGCGAGGCAAGCAGGACTTCAGACTTTCAGGCTCCAGGCTTGCATATGGAGACCTGACAACCAGAAATTCCCCATGAAGGTCTGGTGCAGTAGCTCACGCCTGTAATCCCAGCACTTTGGGAGGCCGAGTAGAGTGAATCACCTGAGGTCAGGAGTTTGAGACCAGTCTGACCAACATGGTGAAACGAGGTTGCAGTGAGCCGAGATCCTATCACTGTATTCCAGCCTGGGTGATAGAGCGAGACTCTGCCTTAATTAAAAAAAAAAAAAGAAAGAATTCTTCATGAGACATTAAGAGTTCTTAGTGTTACAACTCTTTTAGAATTTGTCTAGCAGACTTTCCAGTTTTTGCCAATGTGAACCCTAAATATCTGAGACGGGTCTCAGTTAATTTAGAAAGTTTATTTTGCCAAAATTGAGGCTATGTGCCCTTGACACAGCCTCAGGAGGTCCTGATGACATGCCCAACGTGGGCAGAGCACACTCTGGTTTCTTATATTTTAGGGAGTCACGAGACATCTATCAACTTAAGTAAGAGGAACCTTGGTTTGGTCCGGAAGGGCGGGACAACTGGAAGCAAAGGCTTCCAGCATGCAGGGGGCTTCCAGGTTTTAGGTAAATAAGAGACAAATAGTTGCATTCTTTTTTTTTTTTTTTTTTTTTGAGACAGAGTCTCACTCTCACCCAGGCTAGAGTGCAATGGCGGTCTCCGCTCATGGCAACCTCCGCCTCCTGGGTTCAAGTGATTCTCCTCCCTCAGCCTCCTGAGAAGCTGGGATTACAGGCATGTGCCACCACACCCGGCTAATTTTTTGTATTTTTAGTAGAGGTGGGGTATCAGTATGATGACTAGGCTGATCTTGAATTCCTGACCTCGTGATCCACCTGCCTAGGCCTCCCAAAGTGCTGGGATTACAGTCGTGAGCCACAGCGCCTGCCAGGCCCAGTTGTATTCTTTTGAGTTTCTAATTAGCTTCTCCAGAGGAGGCAATCAGCTTTGCATTTATCTCAGTGAGCAGAGGGGTGACTTCAAAAAGAATGAGAGGCAGGTTTGCCCCTAGCAGTTCCCAGCTTGACTTTTCTCTTTAGCTTAGTGATTTTGGTGCCCCAAGATTTATTTTCCTTTCACATTGGAAAGCTACTTAAAAAAAAAAAAAAAAGAGAGAGTACTTGGCATTGAAGTCTGAAAAATATTCTTTTTTGGTCTTGTTGTAGATGACTTAGTAGACAGTCTTCAGTATTTCAATGAGTACCGGAAATCAGTGCAGTCTGCTGCCTGTAATTGAGCACTTCATGTGGATGGAGTACTCAGTCAATACGTTTCTAGGGATGGAGACACCTTGGCCCTATAAACCTCATTCTGTTGGTCCCAGTTGATCCAGGCATAGAAGCTGGGATAGCTGGATGAAAGAATGGATTATATCACCTTCGGATAAACTCTTTAAATGTATGTATAGATTGTACAACAGCTAGGTTAAAGCTGTATTTTCTGGCAAATATCTCCACATTTACCCTTCACATTTTGAACCACATGACTTGCTGGATGTATCTGGTAGGGGGTATGGCAAATGCCATGAATACTTTAGTGCTTGCTTTAATGAGCATTCTGTCTAGTTGATGCTCATGTCCAATCTGCCTAGAATGTCTTCTCAGTTGGTTTCTGATCTGTTCCTTCCTCTGCAATTATTTCTTTTCTTTCTTCTCTGCAAAGTCTTCTTCCTCTTCCTGCCTCTCATTGCTGCTCCCAAGGTATTCAGTTTTTTTTTCTTTTTGTTTTTTTGAGGCAGAGTCTCACACTGTCACCCAGACTAGAGTGCAGTGGCATGATCTTGGCTCACTACATCCTCCATCTCCCAGGTTCAAGTGATCCTCTGGCCTCAGCCTCCTGAGTTGCTGGGTCTTCAGGCATGTGCTACCATACACAGCTAATTTTTGTACCTTTAGTAGAGACGGGGTTTTGCCACGTTGGTCAGGCTAGTCTCGAACTCCTTACCTCAGATGATCCACCCACCTCGGCCTCCCAAAATTCTGGGATTATAGGTATGAACCACTGAGCCTGGCTGGCCCTTTGTTTGCTGAGACTTTTCATCATCCAGTGGGTATTGAATTTGAACTTTAAAAAAAAATTTTTTTTTGAGTCAGGTCTTATTCTGTCACCTAGTCTGGAGTGCAGTGGTGTGATCACAGCTCACTGCAGCCTTAACTTCCCTGGACTCAGGTAATCCTCTGACTTCAGCCGCCCAGGTAGCTGGAACTACAGGTGTATAGCACCACACCTGGCTAATTTTTAAATTGTTTTGTAGAGACAGGGTTTTACTATGTTGCTCAGGCTGTGAATTTAATTATTATTTTTTAGCTAATCAGAAGAATGAATTTAATTATTGAGATGGTTATATTATTTTCTCATATTTCAGTGGCTTGATTGATGCTAACCTATGGATTGAGTTAATTTTATTAATGTTTTGATTTTCAAATGTTAAAGCAGCCTATTTTCCAGGGAAAAAAAGTCAGGTTGATGTTTTACCCTTTTAGAATATATTCCATGACAAATTGTTGGATATTTTTGTGTCTTTGTTCCTGAAAGAGTCTGTTCTTTTCTTTTTTTTTTTTTTGAGACCGAGTCTTGCTCTGTTGCCCAGGCTGAAGTGCAGAGGCATGATGGCTCATGGCAACCTCCGCCTCCTGGGTTCAAGCGATTCTCATACTAGAGTAGCTGAGATTACGGGCCCCTGCCACCACACCCAACTAATTTTTTGTATTTTTAGTAGAAACGGGGTTTTGCCATCTTTACCAGGCTGGTCTTGAACTCCCGACCTCAGATAAGTCACCTGTCTTGGCCTCCCAGAATGTTAAGATTACAGGTGTGAGCCACCATGCCTGGCTATTTTCCTTTCTTACAATTTTTTTTTTTTTTTGGAGACAATCTCACTCTATTGCCCAGGCTGCAGTGTAGTGGTGCTATCTCTGCTCACTGCAACCTTCACCTCTTGGGTTCAAGTGATTCTTGTCCCTGTGCTTCCCAAGTAGCTGGGATCCCAGGCATGCGCCACCACGGCTGGCTAATTTTTGTATTTTTAGTAGAGACAGGATTTTGCCATGTTGGCCAGGCTGATCTTGAACTCCTGGCCTCAAGTGATCTGCCCATTTTGGCCTCCCAAAGTGCTGGGATAACAGGTGTGAGCTATCACGCCTGGCCTCTTCTAATATCTTAATTTTTTTTTTTTTTTTTGAGACGGAGTTTTGCTCTTGTCACCCAGGCTTGAGTGGAATGGCACGATCTTGGCTCACTGCAACCTCCGCCTCCTGGGTTCAAGTGATTCTCCTGCCTCAGCCTCCCAAGTAGCTGGGATTACAGGCATTAGCCACCACACCCAGCTAATCGTTGTATTTATAGTAGAGATGGGGTTTCACCATGTTTGTCAGGCTGGTCTGGACCTCCTGGACTTAGGTGATTCGCCTGCCTCCCTACCAAAGTGCTGGGATTACAGGCATGAGCCACCATGGCTGTCCCAATATCTTAATATTTGTTGGCATTTATTTATTTAGAGATGGAGTCTCACTCTGTTACCCAGGCTGGAGTGCAGTGGCGCAATCTCAGCTCACTGCAACCGCTGTTTCCCAGCCCAATCAAATAATTCTCTTGCCTGAGAGTAGCTGGGATTATAGGCTTCTGCCACCACACCCAGCTAATTTTTTGTGGGTAACACCCTCCATGGGCACCGAGGAGGGAGAACTGTTCAGATGCCAAGCACTAGTGCCTGAAGAATATCTTAGTTTATAGTGTCATTGCTCAGCTGTTTCCCTAATATAATCCTTCATATATAATCATATATTAGTTTATAGAATTAGTGCTTGAAGTCTAACTTACTGCTTACATATATCTAACACAGTTAGTTCTATATACTCTTTTTATATAATCATATAGTATTGTAGTTGGAGCTGTACTGACACATTTAGTGCTGATTTATATAATCCTTCTATATAACCAAATAGTAGTTTTTTTTTTTTTTTTTTTTGAGATGGAGTTTCGCTGTCGTCCCAGACTGGAGTGCAATGGCACAATCTCAGCTCACCGCAACCTCCGCCTTCTGGGTTCAAGCAATTCTCCTGCCTCAGCCTCCCGAGTAGCTGGGACTACAGGTGCACACCATGTCCAGCTAATTTTTGTATTTTTAGTAGAGACGGGGTTTCACCTTGTTGACCATGATGGTCTCGATCTCTTGACCCCGTGACCCACCCGCCTCGGCCTCCCAAAGTGCTGGGATTATAGGTGTGAGCCATCGCGCCTAGCCCAACCATATAGTAGTTTGTAGTAGGAGGAATGCCTAGAGCAGTCACAGAACAGAAGCAGTACATGGGAAACAGTCAGACCAGGATGAGAACCAAAGATCCAGGCAGTGGCATCCCTGCCTGAAAGGTCATACGCTGTATGGCAGGCTTGGAGCAAGTGCCTCTCCTCCTGATAAAGGAGTTGTAGTACCTTGCAGCCAGTTCCTGTGGAAAGTAGGCCTCAGGCCTGAGATCCTGGAAGTAACCGAGGGAGAAGAACCCCTCTGGTATGACCAGTCAAGGTGGCTGTATACCCTGTCAGTCTTTTCTCGCTTCTGTGCTAGCTCAAAGAATCCTCCCATAAATATCTTAAGAGAAGAGCACAAGTCTGTCAGCTCCCACTGCATTAAGCTTACAGTATCCTTCTATTAGAAATCCTTTGAAGTCTCCAGCCCCCAGATAAGAAGTGTTGTACACAGGCCGGGCACGGTGGCTCACGCCTATAATCCCAGCACTTTGGGAGGCCGAGGCGGGTGGATCACAAGGTCAAGAGATCGAGACCATCCTGATCAACATGGTGAAACCCCGTCTCTACTAAAAATACAAAAATTAGCTGGGCATGGTGGCGCGCGCCTGTAGTCCCAGCTACTCGGGAGGCTGAGGGAGGAGAATTGCTTGAACCCAGGAGGTAGAGGTTGTGGTGAGCTGAGATCATGCCATTGCACTCCAGCCTGGGTAACGAGCAAAACTCTGTCTCAAAAAAAAAAAAAAAAGAAAAGAAGTGTTGTACATGACACCTATTGCACACAGCCCACCTCCTTGCCTCAGTGACCTAATGGGGTGGACCCCTTTTCTGTACACGACCCTTTACTACTGCGCATGGCACAGCCCCTACTGTGCATGGCACAGCCCCTACTGCACACGGCTCATCTCTCTGCTCAGGTGACATAATGGGGTGGTCTCCTCACTTGTAACTCATGTGATTATGTATGCCCTATTACTAAGCCTATAGATGATGACCTCACTCACGACCCTGCCCTCTGCTTGTACCTAATAAATACAGATGCTCTTGGGCATCTGGGGGCCGCTGCTGATCTCTGCTCACAGGTGGTGTGGTCCCCGCATCCAGATGCTCTTCACCAGTTCTTCAGTGTCCTGTCTTCTTTACCTCTCGGATCCTGCACCTCAACACAGCATAAGGGACACCCCACGACCTTGTGGGGCCTCCATAGCCCTACAATTTTTTTGTGTTTTTTAGTAGAGATGGGTCACCATATTGTCCAGGCTGGTCTTGAATGCCTGACCTCAAGTGATCCACCCCTATTGGCCTCCCAAAGTCCTGGGATTACAGGAATAAGCCAATGTGCCTGGCCCAGCCTTTTGTATTTTGAGACAAGGTCTTGCTCTGTCACCTAGGCGGGAGTGCAGTGGTTTGATGATCATAACTCACTGCTTCCTTGAACTCCTGGGCTCAAGCAATCCTCTTGTCTCAGCCTCCTGAGTAGCTGAGACTACAGGCATATGCCATAATGCCTGGACAATTTTTTGTATTTTTTTTTAAGAGATGGTGTTTTGTTATGTTGTCCAGGCCGGTCTTGAACTCCTGGGCTCGAGTGATCCTCTGCCTTGGCCTCCCAAAGCATTGGGATTACAGATATGAGCCACTGCACCTGGCCTTTGTTAGGTTTATATCAATTTTATGCTTGCTTCAGAAAACATGCTTAGTGTTTTCTCTTTATTCTCCAGAAGTGTTTGTGTAAGATTAGTGGTATTTATTCCTTAATTTACTTGTAAAATGACAGAAGTGAATTTATCTAGGGTCTGCCTTTTCTTTATGAATTGTTTTAAAATTATAGATTTAATTTGTTTATATTAGGGTAATTATCCTTTAGAACTTGATACAAGTCCTAGTTGTTCTTCCTACCTTGTCATTTATCATCCCCAGGTGGGTGGCATGTGTGTTTGTTCCAGGGCAAAGCTATGGCTCACACACACACTAGTTCACATAAGCTCATTCAGACCAAAAATTGTTCACGGTTCACTTTGTTTTCTGTCTCTGTATCTTCTAGGTTTATCTGTAGTGAACTCAAAGTCTCAACTATAGCCCAGTCCTTTCTTTTAGTTAAGGTCAGCAGTGACCTCTAGTGATGAAATCTCAGTCTTTCTCTTACTTGCCTTTCTTTTTTAAAAATTAATTATTTAGTGAATTACTCTGTTTGTTTGTTTATTTTTGAGAACCCCTGCCTCCCAAAGTGCTGGGATTGCCAGGTGTGGTGGCTCACGCCTGTTAATCCAAGCACTTTGGAGGCCAAGGCGGGCAGGTCACCTGAGGTTGGGAGTTCAAGACCAAAGTGTTGGGATTATAGGGTTGAGCCACTATGCCCAGCCTCTTACATGAATTTCTTTCTTTTTTTTTTTTTTTAAGATGGGGTTTTACCATGTTGGTCAGGCTGGTCTTGAACTCCCGAGCTCAGGTGATCCGCCCACCTTGGCCTCCAAAGTGCTTGGATTACAGGCCTGAGCCACTACGTCCAGCCCTCTTACATGAATTTCTAGCCATATTTGACATAATTGATTACAGGCACACCTCATTTTATTGTGTCTTGCTTTTATGTACTTTGCAGATACTGCATTTCTTCTTCTTCTTTTTTTTTTTTTTAACAATTGAAGGTTTTTGGAAACACAGCATCGAGCAAATCTGTCAACACCTTTTTTTTCTTTTGAGACAAAGTCTTGCTCTGTTGCCAGGCTGGAGTGCAGTGTTGTGATCTCAGTTCACTGCAACCTCCACCTCCTGGGTTCAAGTGATTCTCCTGCCTCAGCCTACCAAGTAGCTGGGACTACAGGTGTGCGCCATCACGCCCAGCTAATTTTTATATTTTTAATAGAGATGGGTTTCACCATGTTGGCCAAGATAGTCTTGCTCTGCTGACATCATGACCTGCCTGCCTCGGCTTATCAAAGTGCTAGGATTACAGGCGTGAGCCACTGTGCCAGGCCTTTTTTTTTTTTTTTTTAATAGAGACAGGGGTCTCATGTCACCTAGGTTAGAGTGCAGTGGCATGATCTTAGCTCACTGTAAACTTGAACTCTTAGACTGAGGGGATCCTCCTGCCTCAATCCCCTGAGTAGCTGAGACCACAGCTATGCATCACTATGCCTGGCTAATTAAAAAAATTTTGGGGGTGCCGGGCATGGTGGCTCATGCCTGTAATCCTAGCACTTTTGGAGGCTGATGCAGGTGGATCACCCAAGGTCAGGAGTTTGAGACCAGCCTGGCCAACATGCCAAAACCCTTCTCTATTAAAAATACAAAAATTAGCCGGACTTGGTGGTGCACACTTGTAGTCCCAGCTACTCGGAAGGCTGAGGGAGGAGAATCACTTGAACTTGGGAGGCTAAGGTTGCAATGAGCTGAGATTGTGCCACTGCACTCTAGTCTGGGTTTCAGAGCGAGACACCGTCTCAAAAAAAAAAAAATTTTTCTTTTTTTTTTGTAGAAATGTGGTCTCACTATGTTGCCCACGTTGGTTTTGAACTCCTTCATCAAGTGATCTTCCCACGTTGGTCCCCCAGAGCCCTGGGACTGTAGGCGTGAGCCACCTCACTCAGCCTCACAAATATTTTTCTTTCTTTTGTCTTTTTTTTTTTTAAGCATATGCTTATATTGTGTCTCTGTGTCACATATTGGTAATTCTTGAACTATTTCAGATGTTTTATTTATTATCGGTTATGGTGGTCTGTGATCCTTGATTTTTGTTGTTAATTATTATAATTGTTTTGGCATACCGTAAACTATGTATAAGACAGTGAAAATTGACAAATGTTGCATGTGTTCTAACTGCTTTACTGACTGACTGCCTGTTCTCCTTTCTCTCTCCCTTTCCTCTGGCTTCCCTGTTTCTTGAGACACAAAAATATTGAAATTAGGGTAGTTAACTATGCTGTAATGGCCTCTCAGTGTTCAAGTGAAAGGAAGAGTCATATATCTCTCACTTTAAATCAAAAGCTAGAAATAATTAGGCTTAGTGAGGAAGGCATGTATCAAAAGCCAGCAGGGCATGGCAGCTCACACCTATAATCATAATCCCAGAACTTTGGAAGGCTGAGGCGGGCAGATCTCAAGGTCAGGAGTTCAAGACCAGCCTGGCTAACATGATGAAACCCCATCTCTATTAAAGACACAAAAAAGTAGCTGGGTGTCCCAGCTACTCAGGAGGCTGAGGCAGGAGAATTGCTTGAACTCAGTAGGCAGAGGTTACAGTGAGCCAAAATCGATCCATTACACTCCAACCTGGGTGACAGGGCAAGACAATGTCTCAAAAAAAAAAAAAAAAAAGAAAGAAAAATAAAACAAAAAACAAAAGCCAAGGCAGTCCCAAATTAGGCCTCTTGTGCCAAACAGCCCAGTTGTAAATGCAAAGGAAAACTTCATTTGTTTTTTCCTTTTCTTTTTGTTTTGTTTTTAGAGTCTCGCTGTGTCCCCAGGCTGGAGTGCAGTGGCACGATCTCAGCTCACTGCAACCTCTGCCTCCTGGGTTCAAGTGATTCTTCTGCCTCAGCCTTCCAAGTAGCTGGGATTACAGGTGCGTGCCACCATGCCCAGCTAATTTTTTGTATTTCAGGTAGAGATGGGGTTTTGCCATGTTGGCCAGGCTGGTCTTGAACTCCTGACCTCAGCTGATCCACCAGTCTAGGCCTCCCAAAGTACTGGGATTATAGGCGTGAGCCACCATGTCTGGCCGGCATATTTGTTTATAGTGTGGTTTACTGAAATTTTTTTTTTTTTTTTTTTTTTTTTTAGTTGATGTATTTGTCAGAAGAAATATGTAAAGGGTGTGCTGATAATTAATGCTATTATGCTACTATTTTTAAAGTCTATTTCCTATTCTCTTTACAGGCAGCAGTTGATGCTTGCAAACTAATGGGTGAAAAGAAATTTCACCGTATAATTATGGAAGATAAACGTATTTTCTGGAACTCCAAAATAACTGATATAAGGGATGTTGTCACCATGCAAGATTATATGCAAGTAAGGAATTTAGGTTTAGATGTTGAAAAACAAACAAACCAAGCAAGTCTTCCTAACTCTGTTGTCCAAGAAGAAAGAATCACACTTTTTTTATTATGGTAAAATACTCACAATATAAAATTTACTATTTTATATCTTTCAATTATGTTCTTTTTTTTTTTTTTTGAGACAGAGTCTTGCACTGTTGCCCATGCTGGAGTGCAGTGGTGTAGTCTCGGCTCTCTGCAACCTCTGCCTCCTGGGTTCAAGTGATTCTCCTGCCTCAGCCTCCAGAGTAGCTGGGATTACAAGTGCACACCACCACACCCGGCTAATTTTATTTTATTTTATTTTTTTTTTCTTTTTTTTTTTTTTAGGGAAAAAGAGAAAAAGAAGGGGAAAAAAAGAAAAAGGGAAAAAGGAATATTACTTCATTCCTAAAATGGGTTTCAATAATGGCCGATCAATATTTTGAGTGTTTAAAGTGGTTAATGCATATTTTATGTGTTTAAAATGGAGACCTCTATTGTGTTTATTTGTTCTGGCTCTGAGTTCAAATCCTGGATATCGTTATCAATTTGTTGTCTCGTTGAATCTAAATCTATGTGTCTTATGTATCTGGGTGTTAAGATCTCTTATTGTTACATTAATCCTTTTACCCTTGTATCCTTATAGCTTTGAAATCTATTTTGTCAAATGTGAAAATTGCAACTCCTGCTTTTTATTTATTTATTTTTGCTCTCCATTTGGTTGGTACGTTTTTTTTTTTTTTTCCAATCCTTTATTTTGAGTCTATGTATATCTTTGGATATACCGTTGGATTTTGTCTGTATCTTTTGATTGGGAGATTTGATTGATTTAACTTTAGGGTTGCTGCCATTTGATATTAACTGGCTATTTTGTCCTTTTGTTGATAAAAATTCTTCTTTATGTTAACGCTCTTTACTTTTTGGTGTATTTTTAGAAAGGATCATACTGGTTGTTCCTTTCTGTGTATAATGCTTCTTTTAGAAGTTCTTGTAAAGCAGGCCTGGTGGTAATAAAATCTCTGAGTACTTGCTTGTTCCTAAAAGATTTTATTTTTCCTTCAAATGTAAAGCTTAAATTGGCAGGATATGAAATTCTGGGCTGAAAGTTTTGTTCTTTAAGTATATTGAATATTGGCCCCCACTCTCTTCTAGCTTGTAGGGTTTCCGTTGAGAGATCTGCTGTAAGCCTAATAGGCTTACCTTTATGGGTAACTTGATCTTTCTCTCTGGCTGCCCTTAATATTTTCTCCTTCGTTTCGATCTTGGTGAATCTAACGATTATGTGCCTTGGGGTTGGTCTTCTTGAGGAATATCTTTGTGGTGTTCTCTGTATTGCCTGGGGTTGAATAGTGTCCTGCTTTGCTAAATTAGGAAAATTTTCCTGGATAATGTCCTGGAGAGTATTTTCCAGCTTGACTTCATTCTCTCCGTCACATTCAGGTACACCAATCAAGCGTATATTAGGTCTTTTCACATAGTCCCATATTTCTTGGAGACTTTGCTCATTCCTTTTTATCCTTTTTTCTCTATTCTTGTCTTGTCGTTTTGTTTCATTAAGTTGGTCTTCGACCTCTGATACCCTTTCTTCTGCTTGATCCATTCGGCTGTTTAAGCTTGTACATATTTCACTCAGTTCTCGTGTTGTATTTTTCAACTCCATAAGTTCATTTGTATTCCTCTCTATATTGTCTATTCTTTTCAACATTTCATCGAACCTTTTTTCCAAGTTCTTAGTTTCTTTACATTGGGTTAGAACAAGTTCCTTTAACTCCCAGAAGTTTCTTATCATCCACCTTTTAAAGCCTACTTCAGATAATGGAACACAGTCCTTTTCCATCAGGGCTTGTTCTGTTACTGATGAGTCTTTTTCCATCAGGGCTTGTTCGGTTGCTGATGAGTCCTTTTCCATCAGGGCTTGTTCCGTTGCTGATGGGTTCTGATTTTGAGTAGACTCGGCCTTCTTAGGCTGTTTTTTTCCCTTCATTGTAGATGACCCGCCTTTCTAATTAGTTTTCTGAGTCGACGTCCGACTTATTGATTCCCAGTGCTGGGATCCGAGCCACCCACTGTGGCAGCCTAAATAGCAGCAGTAAGACTGATGGTGCTCTTCTGCCCGGGAATCTCTGGTCTGGCTTCCCTCTTGAGTCCGCAACAAGCGGCTCTGACTTCCCGGAGCTCCAAACTCTGGTCAGTAGGGGAAGCGTTCCCGTTGGCTCTGCGTGAAGAGCTGCTGCGCCGAGACGCCGGCAAAACCACTGCAGCGGCCACAAGAGTCGCGCTGGCGACCCGTGGGGCTCCTCCACTGGGAGTCGGCTAATCGGTGAGTGACGAAAATTCGTCTAATGATGTGGCGTCGTCTCGTTCTCTGAGCTTTCACTGGGAGCTACAATCCTGAGCTGTTAGTGGTCGGCCATCTTGGCTTTTCTTTGAAATTTTTTTTCCTTTTTTTTTTTTTGAGATGGAGTTTCGCTCTTGTTACACAGGCTGGAGTGCAATGGCGCGACCTCGGCTCACTGCAACCTCTGCCTCCTGGGTTCAGGCAATTCTGCCTCAGCCTCCTGAGTAGCTGGGATTACAGGCATGCGCCACCATGCCCAGCTAATTTTTTGTATTTTTAGTAGAGATAAGGTTTCACCATGTTGACCAGGGTGGTCTCGATCTCTTGGCCTCGTGATCCACCCGCCTCTGCCTCCCAAAGTGCTGGGATTACAGGCTTGAGCCACTGTGCCCGGCCTTTTTTTTTTTTTTTTTTTTTTTTTTGTGACAGACTCTTGCTTTGTCACCCAGGCTGGTGTACAGTGGCGCGATCTTGGCTCACTGCAACCTCCGCCTCCTGGGTTTAAGTGATTCTCCTGCCTCAGCCTCCTGAGTAGCTAGGATTACAGGTGCACACCATGATGCCCGGCTAATTTTTATATTTTTAGTAGAGACGGGTTTCACCGTGTTCATCAGACTGGTCTCAAACTCCTGACCTCGTGATCTGCCTGCCTCAGACTCCGAAAGTGCTGGGATTACAGGTGTGAACCACTGCACCCAGCTGGTTTACTGAATATTTTAAGCAAATTATTTAGTCTTAATATTCAGAAAAAAATATTTTTTTCAAAATGTTACTGCTCATTGACAATGAAGCTGGTCACACAAGAGCTACGAGGTCCGGAACTAACTGTTTTCATGTTTTCTAGTAGGCATCCATTCTACAGCAGGATCAAGGAGTAATTTTGACTTTTGAGTTTTACTATTTAAGAAGTAAATTTGTGGCCGAGTGTGGTGGTTCACACCTCTAATTTCAGCACATTGGGAGGCACAGGCAGTTGGATCACTTCAGGTTAGGAGTTTGAGACCAGCCTGGCAGGGTGAAACCCTGTCTCTACTAAAAATACAAAAATTAGCCAGGCATGGTGGTGCATGCCTGTAATCCCAGCTACTCGGGAGACTGAGGCAGGAGGATCGCTTGAACCTGGGAGGCGGAGGTTGCAGTGAGCCGAAATTGTGCCACTGCACTCCAACTTAGGCAACAGTGAGATTCCATCTCAGGTCCAAATAACAACATTAATCAGAATTTGGAAGAACTTGATTCCAACCCTTATGGATGACTTTGAAGGGTTCAAGTCTTCAGTGGAGGAAGTCACTGCAGATGTGGAAATAGCATGAGAACTAGAATTGGAAGTGGAGCTGGAAGATGTGACTGAATTCCTGCAATCTTATGGTAGAACTTGAACAGATGAGAAATTGCTTCTTATGCATGAGAGAAGAAAATTGTTTCTTGTGATGGAATCTATTCCTGGTGAAGATGCTGTGAACATTGTTAAAATGACAACAAAGGATTTAGACTTACATAAACTTAGTTAATAAGGCAGCAGCAGGGTTTGAGAGGATTGAATCCAATGTTGAAAGAAGTTCTACTGTAGGTAAAATGGTATTAAACAGCATCTCATGCTACAGAGGAATTTTTCATGAAAGGAAGAGTTAGCTGGGCATGGTAGCTCATGCCTGTAATCCCAACACTTTGGGAGGCCCAGGTGGGCAGATCACCTGAGGTCAGAAGTTTGAGACCCGCCTGACCATCATGGAGAAACCCCGTCTCTACTAAAAATACAAAAATTAGCCAAGTGTGATGGCGCATGCCTGTAATCTCAGCTACTCTGGAGGCTGAGGCCGGAGAATTGCTTGAACCCGGGAGGCAGAGGTTGTGGTGAGCTAAGATCTGCACTCAGGCTTGGGCAACAAGAGTGAAACTCCTCAATTAAAAAGAAAAAGAAAGGAAGAGTCAATCAGTGTGCAAGACTTAATTGTCATTTTATTTTAAGAAATTACACAGCCATCCCAGCGTTCAGCAAACCACCACTCTGATGAGTCAGCAGTCATTAACATTGAGGCAAGACCCTCTACCCCCAAAAAGATTATGATTCACTGTAGACTCAGATGATTGTTAGCTTTTATTTTATATTATTTTACTATTATTATTATTTTTTTTTGAGACAGAGTTTCGCTGTTGTTACCCAGACTGGAGTGCAATGACACGATCTCGGCACACGGCAAACTCTGCCTTCTGGGTTCAAGCAGTTCTCCTGCCTCAGCCTCCCAAGTAGTCAACAGGCATGCACCATCATGCCCAGCTAATTTTTATATTTTTAGTAGAGACGGGTTTTCACCTTGTTGACCAGGATGGTCTCGATCTCTTGACCTCGTGATCCACCCGCCTCGGCCTCCTGAAGTGCTGGGATTATAGGCGTGAACCACCATGACTGGCCTATTTTATTATTTTTTGAGACAAAGTCTGGCTTTGTCACCCAGGCTGGAATGCAGTGACGCCGTCTTGGCTCACTACAATCTCTGCCTCCCATGTTGAGGCAATTCTCCTGCCTCAACCTCTCGAGTAGCTGGGACTACAGGTGTGTGCCACCATACCCGGGTAATTTTTGTATTTTTAGTAGACGGGTTTCATCATTTTGGCCAGGCTGGTCTTGAACTCCTGACCTCAGGTGATCCACC